TTCCATTGGAGCTCCATGTAATTCCGCCGTTAAAATCCTTGATTGCATCATACGCTGGCTGAAGGAAAAAAGGATACTTAGTACCGCGCAAGAAGAATAACGCATGCATACCTGCAGCCCTTAATCAAGTCCTCCATGTATTCTTTCCACATTTCATGAAGAGGTGCGTAAAGTTCATGCCTGTGCCAAGTTGATCAGAACAACCAGCGAAAAGAAAAAAAACTTATAGCCAACCTTACTTTAAATACTTGGAGCTCAAGACATATGATCCCATCCTTCGGTGTTTCCTGAGAGACCATCGCTGCATGGAACGCTTGCTGCGGAGCTGAGCTCTTGCACGAGCTTTGTCACTCTGCATCTTCCGCGTTGTAGGATTGTCAAGCTGCACCATCTGGTTTTGCTTGTTCTCGAATTCTTTCGAAGCCTTGGAACTTTTACCCCATAAATTCTCTAAGAGATGAGCCACTACGTGCTTCCCATCCGAATTTGCGAGCTGAGGCGAACAAAAAAAACGTTACGAGCCATCGGAAGAAAAGGCACATTGCAGTCTACCTTCAAGTTAGAAGCTACTTCTCCATGGAAAAAGGACTCCGGCAGTGGGATATACATCGGATCGTCTACTGCAATCGAAATTCACGTAAGTAAACACCGCAGAGCAAGAAAGATAGAAAAGATTGACTTACGCGAGCTATATGGCGCAGATAATCGCCTTCCCGAAGCCTGCGATTGAGACGCCGGAGTCTTCGGCGACGCTGCAATCCCATTTTTTGCGATCGATGGAAAATGAGGGGTGAAAGGAGACGATCCAAAACTTTGCCGCCGATCTAGCGCCTCCAATCGGACCTTCTTCAGCTCCGAGGGCGTCGCATTCGCCATGAGAATCGGAAAACCCTAACCCCTAGGATACCGAATATCCTTTACCCTTAGAAAAGCATATTCCATTTTACACAAACTTAACGTACTTAGACACCACTTCACGTGATATCTGTCCCATTATGCGTTGGATCTTTGGGAAGCTAGATGTTGAAGATAGAAAACCTTTTGTTATGGGTGTTGTCCCTCAACAAGAACATAAAGATCACATAGAGAAAACAAGATTTTTAACTGACTTTGAGGCCATAGCTAGTGCCACCTTGTCCACTTGGGGTGACAGTCCTGACACATCAGTATGTGAAGTATGAAATAGTGATTTTTAGGGATTATATTATGCTATAAGGTTACACTTGGCAATAATCCCACATCACTAGACAGAAAAGAGTCTTATTTCTTGGAAATTATTATTTAAACCCAAGGACACTTAACCCTAAGTATTTTAATACTCTTAATCAATTATAAAAGGAGTTTTATTCATACCTCTATATTTTAACCTTTATAAATTATTTCTCAAATCGTTCGCTTTGGTTGCTTATAATAAGATTTTGATGAAGTGTTGACCACAATATTCCTAACTTAATTTGCGTTGACACATTTGACTCCACATAAAGCAAGATGCTCTAGAAGCAAATGCTATAACTAACATAGATGACCTTTAATAAAGACAATGCAATTGCTAAAAGGCATCACCACAATTATTAGCATGTCCAAATGCTTACTTCAAGACAAAAGAAGGCTTCAATCCATACAAGTAACTGTGCTCAAACCTTTGTACTATTATAATGCTATCTCTTGAAAACATGTGAAAAATGTCAAACACCATCCCAAGAATGATAGATGGCAATTATCGTAAAGTGATCAAATTAATGGTATATATCATTCCCAAGATTCCCATAAAAGAAATCCAATCGGACGTAAAAATTGATAGTAAAGGTAGAAGGGGCTACACAAAACACTCTAAATGCTGCCATCAACATAGTCTAATATAGTTATATAGCATCAAATAATTGCATCCATTTTTACTCTAAAATTAAAGCTTTTATAAAGGAGTATGTTATTTTGCCATGAAGATGAATGAGAGAAAAGAAAAAAAGTTAAAGTGAAGAAATAGAAAAAGCTATAAAAATAAGATGGATTTAAATAATATAAAATCTCAATCTAAAATACATACACAATAGACAATTAAATCTGCCTTTCACCTCCACCAAAGTGGGTGTATGAATTATACAAATATACATTTTGATTAACATGAAAACCCCTACCTTATATACAGGAGTGCAAGACACTAATAGCATTCATACAAGACCTTACAGCCTTTATTAAGTTACATATAGCTTTAAAAAATAAATAGAATGCACAATATCTACAAACTTGAAGAATATGTTACTAGACAGATACTTGTAACACAGTTCACTGACTGACGCAATTGACAGTTGTGGTTGCTGACAATTGTTTGAGCTAAGCACATAGGCATCTTACGATTTGAAATACTGCGCACAAGTGGGGCACATGAATGGTACCTGAGTGACACAGTTCACTTCATTTCTACGTTCTTCCCCTGCTTCTTCGACTAGATCTGCCCCCTGTTCTGGATCCACCACCAGTGCTGGATTGTAGTGGACACAAGGCTGGTGGTACCATAGGTCACAAACATCACACTGCACCCAGGGAGCATCCCCTCTATCTTCCCAGCAATCGGAGCAGCTTTGCAAATCCTATACAAGCAAGAGTTCCATTAAAGAGGAAAAGGAACAAGAAAAAATAGCATACCATTCTGGCTGTGTTTTTCCTGAGCTCGTCTAGCCTCGCATCAATGCTCGAAAGCTGTACATTGAAGAAGCTGAAAGGCATCACAACGACATAATACTCAAGGCCTAGATGGACTTTGGATGTAGCTCGGTACGAGACCCACCTGTCCGTGTGAATCACCCACACAAGCACCTTGATCCGCTTGTCACCAAGAAACAGTTCCTCAGCCTTCTTCACCATCTTCTTGTGATGAGTGATGGCATTCTTAGTGACAGAAAATTGGAGACCCATGACAAAATTTTTGTCTTCCAAGTAGGCATTGAGGCCAGTGTGGTTAAAGTCGTATGGGACGTGCGCTGTTCCTTCAAGGGGGTGCATTACCGAGAGAAGCTTTCTGGACATTGGTCCATGGAAGTTAATGACGTGCTTCACTGTTATGTGTGCTCTTTTGCCATGTGCGTAATAAAAGCCTTGAGTCGTAAACTTTGTGCTGAGGATTCCCGCCATTTCTGCATTCCAGCCAATGCGAGCCATGTTGTTGTCCTTAGCAACGGCTTGAACCCAGAAGCTGACCTGCTTCCACTGCTCACCGAGTTCATCCTCGCGCATGAGTCCGGCTAAGGTGCTAAGCGCATAGGAATGAAGATGAGGGGTGAGAGCCTCAAGCGTTCCATCTTTGCCCATGTAGAAACACCTGGTCTCCAGCAGCAGAGGAAGCCTTAAAACTGTTTCTGTGCCCATCAACTCTTTCTGCAACTGCTCTCGAACGTTCCCTCCCAGGTGGCTCTGGATGAACGTACGTATGTCTGCCTGCAACGATGAGATGCACTGCTGAAACGCTTCCAGGTTTTGGTCGAATTGATCCAGCAGCCTTGGAACTCGACCTGTTTTAGACAGATCGACGCGCTCGAGCTCAAAGACCTTGAGGTAGGATGCCAGTTCTTTGTCCTACAAGGCACACACATCTCAGAATGTGAAGACAAGACGCCTAAGAACTTACATTCAGTCCTCCAACAACCAGCTTGTACTGCGAGGCCTTGGGATGACGAAGGACTTGCGTCCATACACTTGAAATTGAAGTGCAAAAGACGACAACACAATATTTGAGAAGGGTGCAGAGCAATTGTAGCCCCGGACTATCTCTCGCCAACCTGTGGCCGTCATCAACGACAATGGTCATGTCCACGTTTGTCCTCTTCATGAAGAAATATTGGACGTCCCAGATCGATTCTTGGCCCGCCTTTATTGCTTCTAGCTCCTGCAAGGCAGCGTTGTCGTCCACAAAAGCCCGAAACAGCCCATCCCAGAGTGTATTCTCCGGGGCAAAAGACATTTTAGATCCCTCGACCAGCATAATCCGACGCGGCCGAGACGAGGAGCCGATCCTGTCGCGCGCAAACTTGCCATAGAGGTAGAGGACAGACGCTGCGACGCTGCAAGTCTTGCCAGCGCCCGAGATGCCCGTTATGTACCTGAAACCGTCAATATCGTAAGGACGAAGCTGCTTGCGACCGCCCTTTCCTGGAGGCAAGACTATCTTCGATTCTGGGACTATGAAATTGATGAGCTCCTTGGTGAGAGGCCTGCCCATGTAATGAAACGTCGTCCGCTGCGAGAAATGGTAGACTTCCATAACCTTGGTCGGGTCCTGAAGATCGGCTTCAGTGAGCAGGGCGGAGAAACCCATGAGCAGCCCATGGATCCTCTCCGCATCCTGACGACGGACATCCACAACCCTCTGGCGCTTGCCACCGCCCATCCCAATCCAAAAATACTCTATCCAAAAACCCTAATGGTGCAGAGACGTGATGTACGAAAGGAATATATGTAAAATAGAGAATTTTGGCAAGTTCAGGTGTTGGACTATTTTCTCCCCATCTGAGTTGGCCATGGTGTGTGAGTTATGGTGCTTACCACTATCTCTAGGAAGTTAGCTGTTAATGTCTGTGACTTAGATTATTTTTACCTTGAGAGCTATTGAGTTGTGCTTACAGTTTGAAAATATAAAATGTGGGTGCAACACAATTTGTAGTTTTATCTATCACTCTAAACTCCGAAATAGAGTTAATATCATCATCATTTCAACTTCTTTGTTTTCCAGGAAGCCCTCACCTTATCATTTTATGTCAAATCCAACATAGCACTGCCACAATTGAGTTACTTTGTCTAGGAAACTCACTCTTATTGGCCCACTTCACTACACAACCACACACACAGAAGTCTCTTCACACCAAAATTTTAGGGAACCCTAAAATTCAGGAAGCAATCAAAGAAATTAGATTCTGAGATATAAAGGGAAATGATATAAATGAAAGTCTTTTACATTTTGTTAAAGGTTTTGAAATAAACATCTTTAAATTTGAGTAATATTGGGATACCAGGAAGTTTGAATATACTTATTAACTTAGAACTTTCCATAGCTAAGAAAAGGTGGTGCCTTGTTCTTGGTTCTAGTTGATTAAAAATTAACTTCATCTATTTCTAAGGTTTGATACTACAAATGTGATATATTTCAAAAAGCGTCACTTGTAATGCAATTGTCTCCATCCTCAATGAACAATTTCCTATATATTGAGTAGTGATTGTCCCAGAATGCCTACAAATTACGGGAAAGCAAGCTGGGCAAATTAATATCAATAGGAAAAGAAATAACCATAAACTTGATGCATTATTCTTGTCTTACCTCACTCAGCCAATTAGCAACCAAGCTATGCCACTCTTCCATTGGCCAGATCAAAATTTTCCTTGGACCAATAACCCTCATTGGGCTGCAATCCAACAGCCACAAGCCATAAATTAAAAATACCTAGCTTAGTAACTGTAAAAATTACTTTGCTATTTAAGATTTAATCTTAGCTTTTGAAAAGATCTCATTGATCACATATATCATATAAACTACTAATAACTTTAAACTTATAATTAACCAGTGTTTATATATAAAAACCTACATACTTAGGTTTTTAGCTTGCATATTGGTTTTTTTTATTTGTTGTGTTAGTTTGACACATTTATATGTGTGTTTTCAAGTGACATCTATATTTCATCTTTTAGTGCTTGTGAGTCAACATGCTCATCTTCTTGGCATTTGGCACAGTAGTGAAGTTTTCATGTGAGGTGTTCTTTGGTCAACTTTAGCAGATATCCAGCTTCCTTTGTTCTCATATTTACTAACAGAACTCTTTTGGGCCTCCTCATAGATACTCCTCACAATGACTCTTCTCTAGATATTCTTCATCCATTGGCAGAGACATTGGAAGTGCTGCATGTGTGTTCTGCACTTAC